AATAACATACAACATACATTTATGAATTAAACATCGTTCTGTGGCAACATAAAGTTTGAATTTACTGAGACAAAATGATTTTCTCCAATATCTTTAGCTAGAAAAATAAACTTAAAAGAATCATTTAAAGCTTATAAATTTAAAGAAATATAGCTGGATTAAATATGCATAACGTGCAATATTAAATAAAGGAGGTGAAATATACAGATGAAGAGTAATTGAAATTACAAGGTGTGAATTTTTTCAGTGTTTCTGCTGTTAATTTTTTTAAGCTCCCGTGTTCGGTAGGAATTAATAAAAATCTTAAATTATAATCTGAAACACTTTGTTGTTCGTGAAATATAGATCACAAAATATCATGTATTTTTCTCAGCGTAACGTTTTCTAGCTCGTTGAGGGGATACTGTCTCAGTGATTGTAGATATGAATACAGGGCTGCTGGAAGGTCTCCCTTGAGCTGCTGACAAATTCCTCAGATCTGCCAACATATATCTTTAGAATATGGATGAATTGGTCCGTGCTTAACATAGATCTGTAAATCATTTAAGGCTACTTCTGCAAGATGCTCGTCACATTGCCTGTAACATAAGAATTCTAACATATGTAACATTGCAAATGGGGATATTTGCATGCAAGTCACTAGACTTTGTTTATAGATTAATTCATTGATATAAAAAATGTTTGAATAGAGCACTATATCCTGTGCTACAGCTTTACTAATCTTTATTTCCCTAGTCCGTTCCCGAAATGCCTCGATATCTTTCTCACTGTTTACGTAATGCGAATGCATGATGTATGGTTGTGCAAAGTAAATTTTTGCCTTCTGTAAAACCGATATTGCTTTCATATATCTTAAAGTCTTGTAATAATACATTACAAGGAACAGGATATTAGAAGAGAACCCTAATTTTTCTACCAGTTTCAACATGAAGCGCGATATTTTATCAGTTTTATACAAAAGCTTATTCTCCGCAGTGTTAGCGCACCTGCTATGTAATAAAAAAGCTGTGCTCTGGAGGTTGTTGACCATGAGATATTGTACCGCCAGAACTTGATAGTTTGTAGGTTCTTCATTCATCAAAGTTTCCATTATTTTTGGGAACTCAAACCAGCTGTTCAGAGTTGGTATAAACATAGGATTATTTGATCTTAGTTCTATAAATAGATTCAAATTGAACACAATTTCTTCATCGTCCTCAGAATTATACATGCATAGTCCAGGATTACAGAGACCAATTATAATTATTGATCTGAGGGAGTGACTGTGTAGTAGTAATGCCATATCCTTCTCATACAGTCCGTATAATCCCAGGAATAACTTCCTTTGAGATTCACCGAATATATTTGTAAAAAAGCATGTTGTTTTCAGGAAAGAAAAAGTAAGGACATACGCCTTCATACACCTATTTAAGAAGGAGTTTAAAGCAGACCCAGAAACATTCCAGAAAATTATCTGGACACCAATGAGGTATTACATTTTGCTGAAGAGCCCAAAATACAGCTGTTTTCATGTGATAAGAGCAAAGAAAACTTTCTTCTATCCTTTCCTTGATGACTTCTTTTAGAATTAGCTTGAGTAAACCATACGTAAGAAACTGAATGTGGTTCATTGTGTATACAAGCTTTTGCTCTGCAAGAGAGAACAAAATTCTCCATTCATTTTCCTCATGATTTCCTAGCTTGTGCCCTATTGCTGCAAAGTGACACCCATTCCTGACAATATCATCAACTATGTGAGGACTTGGCCACGATTGACATCTATTGATCCATGCTAGGGCAGATGGTGGCCAAAAATCACTAGCAAAACAGAGAGCATCGTCAAATTCTACATCTAGGAAAGTTCCACTACTACAGGGCCCATGGATATGGCATTTTGGTCTCACTGATAATGGCGACATATTATTTCGAAATGCAGAACTGGATATATATTCTTTGCCATGCAATGTAAAACACGCTGAATCGATTGGTATTATTGTAACGGCAGGACGGAGCAGTTGGAGTAATGCAATTCCTGGTGGACTCTGAGAGCAGTCAGAAAGAATCAGTGTTTTTCTGCTGTAGAGCTGGCTCTGGGAAAAATTCCAAATTACCCGATGGGTTTTAGGCCAGAACATAGAATCTCTATCGGAATCCGACAGTCTAAAGCCTTCTCTATGACTTCCACTATACATCACACAACAATAGGCTTGTGGATTAAATAAAGGAGTTACCATTTCAGAAAAATCAGTTTAATCCCTTCTCATGGTAACTAGTTCTGAGGTTCCCACTATTTGACAGAACCTCTCAAACACCAACGGTGATATGTCTTGTATAACCCTCTCACAATAAAGAAAAAATAAACATAATTAAGGATTTGCATTTAATATTATCTAGAACAGCAATACAAGTAAATTTAATCTTCCTTACGTGAAGGGCAAATTGTTAAGAGATGCCATCCTCTGAGACCAAATTCTTTTTTGTTTTGTTTTTATAAAGTCACATTTATACTTTTCAAATTAAAAATCCCAACACACTCAACATTGTGGAAATTTCATATTTTATGATAGCCCCGTTATGTCAGGAGGGAGATTGATTATAAGACAAAACTAAAACACACTTTGGAATTTGTCAACTTCCGTAAGGAAAAAGTGATTTTTGTTATTCAATTTTATAATAGCCCGAAATGAACAAATTATTTATACATTATACAGAATGTTTCATAACCTGAACTCCGTTTTACGATAATGTAAATCAAATGTGATTCTCAAACTTTCAAGGAATTTTAAGATGATTTTGGAATCACTGTTTTATTCAAAAATCAGTTACGTGTATATTAAAAGTTGAGTTTTCTACACTATATACAATTTCAATCATTCGTAATGATGAATTCAAAAATGAATCTTTTGATATCAAAGACAACTGCATCATGAGGAAAATTGGAACTTATGAATTTTCATATATTGTGATTTGTTCATAATTATAACTTTTATTCTGTACACAAGTACAATTAGACAGATATCAAAAGAAGCTGGAGTTCCTTATTGACAGTGTCTATGAAGTTTTTGAGGACTAAGTCTTTTTATTTTAAAGTCTATTAGCAGACCTATGTTCATGTTAATGGGAAATCAAGAAATGTATCATGTAAAGCTTATTGTCTGTCATTGCTACCTGATATCACTTTTTTTTTCCAGGGTCCGTGTTTTTTTTGTCCCCCGCTTGAAAAGTGGGGGATATTAATTTGGGTCTGTCCGTCCGTCCGTCATTCTGTCTGTCTGTAATGCTTTCGTTTCCACACGATATCTCGAGATTCCTTTGGGCTTTCGCTATGACATTTTGCATTGCAACTCACTATGGAGTAAAGAAGTACCCTATTGATTTTGAGGTCAAAAGGTCAAAAGTCAAAGGTCATTAATTTGCAAATTCTGTCTAATATAACACTTCTATTTCCGCGAGATATCTCAAGAACCCTTTTTGCATTTGCAATGGAATTTTACAGAACAACTCCCTGTGGCTTAAGGAAGACCCCTAGTTATTTTGAGGTCAAAATGTTAAAGTTCAAGGTCATATATATATATACATTCTGTTTGTGTATAACACTATCGTTTTCGGGCGATATTTCAAGAGAATTTTGAGCTTTTGCATTGTAATTTCATACTAAATGTCCCTAGGACCTCTCTCACCTTCTTATTACATCTATTAGAACTGTTTAATGAAAGTTAAATTAGACACCATGCATTGTGTAAAATTTTGACAATATCGAACGTGAATATATACATGTATGTGTCTTCATCTTTGCATATAATTTGCGTTAAAGTACAGCAGTTCCGTGGTGTATTGGTACACAGGCAACTTAGCCACATATGATTCTCATATGAGTATCATATGATTCTCATATGATTGGTTTCATATGAGAATCATAGAAAAAGGGCATCATATGTGAATCATATGAAGCAAATCATATGATTTACATATGATCCACATATGTGAATCATATGAAAATAACTACATATGATTTTCATATGAATGATTTAAGTGTGTTTCAAGCCATTTACATATGAGAATCATATGAGAAGGGTGTCATATGCAAATCATATGAAACACTTATGTGTTTTTCAAGCCATTTACATATGAGAATCATATGAAAAGGACATCATATGTAAATCATAAGAAACACTTGTGTGTTCTTTCTCAATATTTTTCACATTCTTGTACACATTTAAAAATCAGATATTTCTGCTTTAGATGAAAATTCATTACATTACAATGATCTATCTTCATTGGTTAAATATTTTAAAATATCTTAAAATGTTTACACAACTTTTTTGATAAAATTATTTTCATCAAGAGAAATAACTTATTTTTCACAGTGTACATTCTAAACAAGAAAATATACAAGCAAGTCAGTAGCATTTGTCGATACATGTATTTAACATATTCTAGGATTAGTACAAATCATAAGATTTCAGCAAAATGATTTAGTAGTTAAACATGCATACTGTACATGTACAAATGAATAACATAATTAGTTCATATATAAAAATACCATATGACATGAAAGTGTCCAAAGCAAAATTGAAATATCAGCAATAACATTTGTCATGTACTGTGGTTTCATCAATTTTCGTTGGCATCAATTTTCGTTGATTTTGTAAAACAGACGTTTTCGAGGATACGTAATTTCGTGGACAAAAGCATTGTCAATACAAATGAATGTCATATTTCGTATTTCAATGAACATTTGAATTCGTGGATCTGCTCAACAACGAAATCCACGAAAATTGGTGCTCAACGAATATTGATGAAACCACAGTATTCTCTATTGTAAATTTATGAAAAATCAAGTTATTGATTATTCCAGCATACAATAAGAATATGGGAAATTTTCACAGCTCAAATTCAGAAAAGATTGTGTACATCCTCCCCATTTCATAATTATTCCATATATTTCCTTGTTCTTTTTCCTTCTGTATCTTTCAATTTTTTCAGTTGTCCTCCCTTTGATCTATCTTCATGACCATTTTGAAAATCTCTTTGAACTGTACCGTACCAAAAATGAATATCCACCACCTCTCCTCTTCCTGAACAATTTCTTTGTGGCACAGAATGGTCTCTACAAAAAATTTCAAAAGTAAAAATAAAAAAATTCTTAAATTCTATGAGTTATAAAAGTTACTTAGGTATAATCAGCAAACAAATGTATGCCCAATTCACTGACACAGATATGATACAGGATAAAACTAACGTTATATATGTTATACTAGGTGTTTTTAGGAATCCTATGATGTAATTTGCAAAATAATTACACTATTGAAAGATATGCTTCATAATAAAATCATAAAAAGCAATTTTTTGTTATTATGACAATTAAATTTGGAATGTTCAAACAGTATATATTAATTCAGATTGTCAAAAAATGAAGAAGATTCTGATACAAATACATGTATATTATTTTTGGACAAAAACACTACAGACAAGTAGACAGGCAGAAAAACAGACATTGTGATTCCAAGATATCCCAAACTTTTGGGAAGACTATAACAAAGTTTATTTAACAGTGTGTATTTACCTTAACTTTGAAGCAAGCGTTGGATCTTGGGATTTGTTCTTTATCTTATGAGAGGCTGACTGTATATTGAACCTGTAAGACAAATACTCATAGTCTCACACAGTAGATACTTTCTAAGAATACATTTAATTAAAACTTAAACTATTAAGAGAGAGTACAAGTTTGTAGGTTCTCTATGGTCTTAAATATATCTAACATTTAACCCGAAACTATAGGCACTAGTGTTTGGGGGAAAAAATAATTGTCAGTCAATGAATACAAAGATGTAAATATTCAATGGATTAGCTAGATGATATTCTTTCAACATACATGCACATGTATTTATAACGTCACTGTTATAAATTTTTAGTTGAAATTCAAAAATCCAATTTATCCCCCCTCCCCCCAAAAAGTTATTGTATACTACTAGTATATAGTTTCATAGCCTTTACAGCCAGCAAAATCTAATCATACTTTGCATATTTTAAGTGCACTGGATTTAAATTATAATGTAGAATAAAATTTCTAGAGTATTGAGTTGAGTTGAATTTATTTTTGATGAAGCCATATGCAAACAATGTAGAATTATGAAAGAACAAAAAAAAAATAATAATAAAGAAATATTTTGTCATAAAGAGACATTACAGATACTTTGATTTTTTTTTGCAAGTATTTATTTTTACCTTCAATATTGTGATGATGCAATCATCTGTCAAATCAGCTTCAGGATCAATTGCCAGTCTTATCAGCTTCGGTCTCTTTGGACTGAAAAAAAACAGTACTGTGACACTGAACTCAAGTTGCCGAATGCATCTATAGGCCATAAAAACAAACATTTGTCATTAAGTTGAAGAAGGAATCCGGACTTGATAACGATCTCAAAATACATAACGCCAACTGACATACAAGGTTTCTACTTTCACTTTCATATCAGTACGTAACAAAACGAAAACAAATTCACGTTTTAAAAAGTAGTAATGCCTTTACCCTAAACATGTAATGTTTACATTCATTCAGAAACAAATTTTATCCAAACTTACTTACAGATCACGAACGTTAGGTTTACGTAATGCATGCAAGTATTGAAGTAATATGAATGGTATATAGAAAGTTCATACGCACCATAATGAAATGATATTGAAACAATATGAATCAAAAGTCTTTAAAATAATATTGTTAGGAGATCACTTGCCTTTTCCAAACACCCAACACGTCTGCTGCAGCAGTGACGTCAAAAATGACGTATATTTTCATCCGATAAAAGACAAAACCGGCCCGGAGAAAAATACGGAATTATTTTAACTGTACTTAGCCAAACCCAAAAGATTTAAAATGAAAAGCAAATTAATTTATTCTTTATCTATTTTGTCTGGGAAATACATTATAACAGGAAAAAATATGTGAAAGGTTTTTTTAGAAGGAAAAAGGGGGGGGGGGGTAGGGTAAACAGAGTAGAACTTTACATATAATTAATTACTAACAAATTCTTTTGAATTAATGTACATTTAAATTTATCTTTTGATATATATTATTGAAATTGCAATTTTACTTCAGTATAACAAGGACAGATAAGTGAACTGTTCAACACTGTTTCATATGATTCTCATATGATCACTGTTTCATATGATTCTCATATGATCACAGTCAAAACATTTTACCTGAGTATAACAAGGACAAACTAGTGAACATTGTTTCATATGATTATCATATGACCAGTTTCATATGATTCTCATATGATTATTGTCAGAATATTCATATGATTCTCATATGCAGGATCTTTCATATGAGAATCATATGTATATTACTTCATATGATTTACATATGTGTAATCATATGATTCTCATATGATTTGCCACATATGATTCTCATATGATTGTATATACATATGATTCTCATATGATCCACATATGATCCTCATATGAAAGGCAATGCATATGTGGATCATATGTGGCTAAATTGCCTATGTATGTCTCCCGCTTCACATGTGAGAGGTCCCGGGTTCGATTTCAGGACGATCCATTTCTTTCCGTAGTACTTTTTTTTTTTTACTAAATTATAGTATTCAGCATGTGAAATGAAATATTTTTGAGGTCTAGCTTGTGCAAGCTCGTAAAATCATCATTACCCTGTGATAGACATTCCATATAAAAAGAATCTTCTGTACACATAATTAAGAATAAATAATGAAATCTTAATATCCATATTGAAATATTTTATTTGTTTCAGTAATTATGTATACATTTAATAATTCTACAAATTCAGTCCGGAAGAACCCCCCCCCCCCGAACTGCGCATGGTTTACTTTTTCCGGAAGCGGGAGAGACAAATTCTGTGAATTAGCTTGTTTTCTTTGCCCTGTTTTACGATTTGTATTGTTTACAGGATCGTGAGATTTATCGTTGTTTATACATGTAATTATATTCTTTTCCATGATATTTGCTTCAGTATCTAGAGGATATAGATATACCTGAAATGATTTAATAAATTTCAGATATTGTAAGTAACATTTCTGTGGTAACTTTACCCAGTCATACATGTATTTGAGTTTGATATATGCTAAGGATGCGCAGTAAGTATTTATTGTATTTCTAACTGGAGATTATATATAATTAATGTATACTTTGAAGCTTCTTGTCGTCAGCATATTATTGATGTATTTACACAATCAATCTACTACCACCTGCCTAGGGCGTTTATGTCTTCCAAGTACTCAATATACTCAATATACTCAAGAACTTGTTATGATAAGATCATTTTGATACCAAGGTAGGCTAATGACATTTACATTGCTGTTTCATGGATTTCAAAAACTCTTTCACATCAGCATTTTGTTATTTCTACAATCAACTACAAAAACCTGACAGTGTTATGCTGACCATTGCTGAGGAAACATTTCCCCATTTAGTTCAGTGTGTTTCTGTAAACATTGATAATCATCTTTTACTGCTTAATAAATAACTCATGAAATAATACCAGTTCTTAGATTGTCTTGAATCATTGTTTGAAGTGAGAGTCAGAACAAAAAATTCTTCTTTAATTTTTTTTTCTTTTGGATGTCACTTGTGAAGAATTGAGCCGCCTGGACATTTTTTATGAAGGAACCAACCCCAAATCATACTATACACAAAGAAAAAAAATATCTATTAAGAGAAGGATATGGAGATAAGGAACAGTATGCACTCTCAAAGTTCATAAAACAATACAAAAAAGAGCAGAGCAAACACGGACCTCCGAAACATCAGAGTTTGGATCAGGTGCCATGGAGGATGGAGCACCCCCTTAAGTAATCTTAGAATGGCAAACTATTCAAAATGGTGCCTACACAGGAAAAAGTATCTCACATAAATTTATATGAAATTCGGATGAATTTTATGTGAATTTAGAAAGAGAAAGAGATGAAAAGCAAAGAAAATAAAATTTATATGAAACCTTTGTGAACATTATACAATCTTATTCACATGAAATTAAAATAAAATTTTACATGAAATTCATATGATTTTCAAATAAAAAGACAATGACATGAGTATCATGTGAACTACTTTTCTCTATGTAATGTTTACAATGATTTTAAACGTTTAAATCAAAACCTGAATTGAGCATTTTTGATCAAAATAATTATATCTGCCATGCTAGATAGAACAATTTATCATTAAAATAATACTGTCCTACACACATTGTTTAATGATAGAATTCATTCTGTGTATTGGCAAGGTAGCAAGAAGAAATGATTTGAATTTCCATCTTAATATGGAATAATTAAGAGTGAGAAGGGAATATACAATTTTTAAATGGCTCCTTATAATTAATTTGATAGTTATTTGCTTTACAACTCCGTTTTTATTCTTTGAAATCATTTCATAGTGGATCCGTTCCAAAATGCTACATTACAACGTTAAGGGACAAGCCCTCATCACAGTTAGATTATTCTATACTGCCAGGCACACCGTCCCTGTCGATTATTTTCTGTTTCAGATTGCTTGCTTGTTTAGTTCTAATCTGTATTTGTAATGATACTAAAAAATTGTTTGACTTTAGGAATTGCTGATTGATTTCATATTGTTTCTTTTTTAGCCCTGCAGTAAAAGACCAAGACTAATGGATAATGATAGTAAAATAACTACAAATGTACAGATAATTAAGATATTCTTTGTTTTTTTATTACACGATTTCATGAGATGAGATTTAATGATGCTGTTTGATGAAATCTCTAAATATATTCAGTTAGTTTCAAATTTGTTAACTAGTATTTTTTTTCAAACAGCTAGGAACGCAGGTAAAGAAGGTGGTGGTAGTGTTATAACAGACTTTATCGGAGTTTGAGAACGTTAATAATAATACAGAGGATTGTAATTTGTCTTCAAATTCCTGGAACAACCATGAAACAATTCACAGTAAAATTACTGATATCTAAAGGAAAAGGGATTGACATTTTTTGCTTTCAAATTTAATGTCATGAAGTTGAATTTATGTAAGAGCTTGTATATTTTAATATGATCTGTTGAGTTTGATTATAGTTTTAATGAATCCAGCCTCTTTACAAAAAGAAATAAAAATTGTATAAAGTAATGCTGCTCTGTACAATCCGGTTAATTGTGATGTTTGAATGTAAATGAGCTGGGTTTGGATCTGTATGATTGAAATGTGTCTTTTTATATGATAATTTTGGTATTAAATGAATGAAATCATTGAAGAAAATTAAATCTTGTTTGATAATATGTACCTGTATATACTAAGGGGTTTTCCTTTCATTTTTCTTTATTCAACTACAATAACATGAGGTAAGTTATTGACGAACAAGTTGAGGAAACAAGAATATCAAGTCTTGTTAAAAGTCATTTTTCTAAGTTGTATGGTCGATATAATAATTTTGTCAGCAAATACAATATATCATTGACTCAAAGGCTGACTGATATTTTTCATACTTTTTGTAGTCCATCATTTATACACTGAATTGACGACGGATTTTTCCGTTATTTCTTTTATCATTACAAGGAGCACCTGGCTGGTGCGACTGGTCGGCAGGGAAACCTGACTACTCCATGGCAACTGTTCCCACCTCTGATTTCTCATAAGTTTTTACATTGTTCTTCCTTCATCATCCCGTCGCCCGTGTGGCGCAGTGGTTAGAGCGTCTGCTCTAGAGTCGCGAAGTAAGGAGTCAATCCTTACGTCGCGGGTTCGAATCCCACTGTGGGACGTGGAGACCGGTCCTTCGGATGAGACCATAGAAACCGAGGTCCCGTGTCGCAGTAGGTGCTGGCACGAAAAAGATCCCTCCCTGCTCAATGGCCCTGAGTGCCGAGTATAGGACAAAATTTGCAGCTCTCCACAGGCAGGTGGCGGCGTCTCCACATGAGTGAAAAATTCTCGAGAGGGACTTTAAACAATATACAATCAATCCTTCATCATCCCAAATGGTTTTCTTCTTATGTAGAAGTTTCTGAATGAATCCTGCTTCATATGAATACCAGCAGGTTTACTTATTCTGCTAACTATAGGAAGACTGGATCAATTGTTGTCGAATAGAAATAGCCATCCTTTTAATAATAATTTGTAGTCACAATCAGAATGAGCAAGGTAGGTAAATTTACGGGTTTAATTTTTCCAGCTGTCTCTGATAAGGGTTAAATTTTTTTGAAGAACTTTGCAAGACTTGAAAACTTCAGAAACATTAATTCAGAAAGTTTGAATTAATTCAATTCTCAGCGATAAACTCTAGGCATAAAAATTAAACTTGTGATTCTCCTTACCTTGTCACTGATCAACTGCAAAAATATTTTTCAAAAACATTCTGACTGTACACACAAATATATACAAATACTTGATCTTAAAAAGATACTCATATTTCTTTTTGACAATATACATGTATGTAGTGCTTGAAAGATAGTCTTCCATCAATCTGTAGGAATTCTGCTCTCATTTTGTAAGCAGATCTATTTTTTGTATGCATATAATAATAATAATAATAATAATAATAATAATAATAATAATAATAATAATAATAATAACATGTTTATTCACTAATCTAGGCTCTCAGGGGGCATGAACAAATAATTACTATACGATTACACTGATTACAATTGAATAATATAGATTTATAATGTAATATGACTTAATAATTAAGTCTGTCATGGAGAAGTACAATACCACAAGATGAATCATCATGAAAATGTAGAATTTGTTACATATTCACAGTATAGTCTCACTCTAGATCAAATATGAAGCACAGCGTGTTCAAAATCTTGTACACGAGAAGAAATCAGTATGTGATGTGTTTTTAACTCAGTATTTAAACATTATCACTTATTAAAAAATCACATTCAAAAGTTGATTTAGGATAATAATAAAATAATATGAAAATCCCTCGA